ATCCAAGGAAATAATACAAAGAAAGAATAGGAAAGGATCTCAAAGCTAATCAAAATATGACCGTTGTACATAAATGCATTCTTTATATTGGTAATATTGACTTAATGTCAATGATTCCTGAAATCATGTTATATGTAATCTGTAAATAATATAAATAGTGAAAAATCCTCTTTCTCTCCTCACCTTAAGAGAGACTTCATATCCTAGTGCCTAAAACGCTTTTATTGGGATGGGTGATATCCTTGTTGGTAGGGATTGTTGCATGGGTAGGATTTGCAAAATCTGATGTGCCACCTCCTCCACCACCTCGATAAGTGGAGAATTTAGTGCATCTCGTGCATTTTGGAGATACAAATAGTCTATAGACTCTGTAGGTGATGATTGTAGAAAATTGAAAAATTTGTCATTCGCCATGTGTTGGTTTTTTTTTTTTTTTATCATTATCATTATTATTATTTTCCTTCCCTATGCCAAAGGATAAATAAGTTACAGTTATAGTTTCATATGAAACAATGATTCGATATTTTGGATGTTGTTAAGCAACTTTCTTCTAGACTAGATACATTGCAATAATGTGGCATTATAGAAAATTCACCCAGAATCAATTTGATTCCAGGTGTTCTCAAGATAATTGACTAATTGTATCTGAGTCTATATAGACAGACGTCATGCAGATTGATGGTGTTAATTTGTTGAATCGAAGCTATATATCTGCAGATTTCTTGCAAGAGATGTTGTCCATATTTCCTTTGTTGGATAACTTGGTTAAAGTGAATGTGTGTAGTTAGTGTTACAGAAAGAATAATTGTGAGTGGATAATGGCATATGCTCTTTCATATATATACTGCTACGCTATCTCCTGTGTCAGGTGGCATGTTTAAGGGGCGTTGCGTTGGGTGATCGGCTGAATGGCAGATTGCTTGTTGGGAAAATGTTGTCAAATGAAAATATGAAAGTTAATCCCGAAAGGCATTCTTCTCTCTATTGATAAAATTCGTAAAATTTTTTTATAGGGTGGGGGGGGAGATGAGAGGAAGATTAATTGGGTTAAGTGGGAGAAGATATGTAAAAAAAAAGAGGAAGGAAGGCTGGGAGTGAGGGATTTGCAGAAGTTTAATTTGGCTTTGATGGGAAAATGGTGGGGACGGTTGGCAGAAAACAATGAGGGTTTGTGGAAGAAAGTAATTATGGAAAGATATGGCGATGGAGGGAACCATTGGTTAGATTGGGTTAAAGAAAATACAGGAGTAGGCTCTATTTGGTGGAGAGATGTGTGCCGTCTTGATTCTTTGCATGGAGAGAGTGGAGGGTGGCTGTTAGAGAGTTTTAGAATAAAAATGGGGGAAGGAAAAAGAGTTAGGTTCTGGTGGGATCATTGGTGTGGGGAAGGGTGCCTTGCTAATAGGTTTCCAAGATTGTGTTTATTGTCAACAGGTAAAGAGAATAAGTGCTACGAAATGGGCAATGCTAGCAATGGCTCATGGAAATGGAATCTAAACTAGAGAAGGAACTTATATGAGTGGGAAGCCGACGATGCCGTGGAACTCCAAAAGAGGATAGAAAACGTGAAGATATCAAAAAGTGACCTTGACAGATGGGAATGGATTCATGACAAGGGAGGCCAGTATTCAACCAAAATTGCGTATTCTCTTCTAACAAGGGAGCGGGTGGAATCGAATGAAGAGAAGACATACAAAAGAATATGGAATCTCATCCTCCTTAGTAAAATTTCAGCTTTCAATTGGCAATTAGTACTGGATAAAATTCCAACCAAAGCTAATTTGCTAAGAAGAGGGATCATTAAGGACACGACTGAAACTAAGTGTGCCCTTTGTAATGAAGAAGAAGAGGATTCTACTCATTTGTTCTTAAATTGCAAAATTGCAAGGTGGGTCGGGAAGGCTTGCTCTAAGTGGTGGGGGTCAAATATGATGTTGAACAGAGACTGCTGAAATACTTTTCAACTCCTCGGGATGAAAACAAAAGGGTCAAAAATCAGAGAAGGCATGGATAGCATCTGGATAACAGCTGTTTGGTCCATTTGGATTGCTAGAAACTAGAAAATCTTCCACAACAAAGAGGTAAATCCTGAAACACTCTTAGAACTTATCCAAATGAGATCTTTTTGGTGGATCAAAGCAAGAAAAGATTGGGCTACTGTTACTCTTTCAGATTGGTTTATTGATCCAGTAGCATGTTTTAAATCCTGTTATAGTGAGCGGAAGGGAGCCTAATTGGTGGGTTATTTCTAATGGTTTTGTTATGTATAAGTAAGAGGTGTTAAATTCCCCTCGTACTCTATATTTTCAATAAAATTATTTGCCATTCAAAAAAAAATGAAAATATGAAAGTGCTCATTTAGGAAAGAATTTTTTTTTTAAGAAAAAATTAAAATTTATTTTAAGGTTTTTTTTTCTAATAGGCACAATTTACTAGTGCAATTATTGCATATTTTTAATAGCAATATTAAAAAATAAAAATTAATTTTTATTTAAATAATTGTCAAATTAAAATGATCTATGGCATTAAGATGATGAATTACCTTGGATGGTTGGAGAAGAAGATGATGGATCAGCTCTACATGTAGACGATCTTATCCCTTCAGCAACTTAAACCCTTTGCTTCTGGAGAGACTTGCAGGACTTTTAGTCCTTTTGCCCTCAAGGGTGGGTCATCAGTTCTGCTTGCATTTCTGTTTTAGTTCCTCATTGAAGACTCGTCAACTATACAAAAAAATTAACAGAAACATGCATCTTTTGTAAATGGTAGATCAAGAAATTGTACAGACCTTTTCCTAGTTCAAAATTTCAACCGTGTGGTGTAAAAATCTACAAAAATTCTCTTTGTTTTCTCCCCTTATTCTGCCGGTTCCACCTCACTATCTCCCCAAATCAGACCTCTTTCTTCGACTTATAAGGCTGCAGAAACATGGGCTAAAATTTGGGCTTTATATGGGCTAGTCTATCAACCAAAATGGTCATTTTTTTACTTACGAGGAATAGGCCTAATCCAACAGCTTTTGGGCAATTTTTAGTTTTTCTCAGATGGGTTTGAGGTTACTTTTGTAGTAATACGTTGGCTTGGGTTTGGTAATGAATGAGAAAGGTATGTTGGGTTTGTTTTAGTCGGAAGATATGGTTTTATAAGAGATAAATGGGTAGGCATAGATTCTTTGGACGTCTCCTTTCCTAGATTATTTAATCTAGCTTTGAATAGGAATGCTAATGTTATGGAAGTGGGTCAAATCTCTAATGGCTTATGGATTTGGAGAAATGCATGGAGACGTGAACCTTTTGGCAGGGAAAGGAATGAAGAACGACTGCTAAAGGAAAGCCTTG